CGTGAGGTTTTGTTAATTCACCGGTCCGGCGGAGAGGGGCAGGAGCGGGGCAGAAGCCGTCGGAAAATGAATGTTTGATTTAGTTCTTCTTCTGGTTCTTCAAGAACTGGCGAGGGGAGAAAAAAAAAGGATAAACGAAACCCCCATCCGTCCCTGAGCTTCCTAACTCCTCCTGCATCTTTCGAGTGAAAAATAAAGGAAAATATGCGAACGCTGAAAAAGAAAAACAAAACGAAATAAACGAAAATCTCGGCGCGGGTTCGGAGCGGCTGCGAGAGATAACGGCGGTGCAGGACAAGGTACGCTCACATGCACAAAAAGAAAGTGCAGTTCCTCCTCCCACCCCTCCCGGAGTGGCAAAGAAGCCAAGGAGGGGTGCGGAAGGTGGCAGGGGCGAGACAGACAGACGGAGCGGAGATGCGTGTGGATCCACTTCTGGTACCAAAGGGTTTCGCCTAGAGATGGTTGGAAGAGATAAAGGCTCGGAGAAAAGGGGGCGGCATTTTTTCCCTCTTAAATTGGTATTTAATGGGAAAGCCTATTGGACAGAAACCTGGACACGAGTCACTTAATTGGACTTGACATCTGTCACAGTGTGGGAGTTTTCACAGCCCAAATATTTTCAGCAGATCAGATTCTCACTGAATCTGTGCCACAAATTATAACAGTCGAGAGCAGCCCATGATATAAACCCTAGCCTCTGGATATACAGTCTCTAGCCATGCTTGCTCCCGCTGCCGTCGTCTCCCCCCGCCCAAATATTGGATACCCACTGATCTAGAAAAACACCGCTGGCATTTCGCATGTAAGCTAATAAATAAGCTTTAAACATCAATTTGCATCATGTACACCAAGCTTGTGGAGAATCATCAGACTGGTTTCTTAGCTCATTTATTTTGGCGGTCCCCCTGCCCTGTCTCCCACCCACCCCCAGTCCCAGTGCGTGGCAGGCGTGAACCTGTCAGAGCCAGGAGGACAGAAAGTGTCCCCCACTCCTTCTGCCTCCTGCCCTCCCTGCTCCAGTGCACAGACAATGAGGCGAGGGAGTCAGCCATGAGTCTGTGGCTTTTCTGCTCTCAAGAGACTGGATGGAGGCAGGCCCCTCCGTGCCTGAGTCAGGGGATGCCTGTGACCAAAGGGACTCCTCTCGCTGTCACCCTGCTCCGGCCCCTGCCAGATGGCAATGCCTTCTCTGCCCTGATCCCCATTCCCATCCCTGCAGATCCCTTTCAAATGGGTGGCATAGCCACTTTTCTGGGTGTAATTGTCTTCTTCCATGGGGACTTTTCAGTGCCAGGAGCCTGTATACTGGTCAGAGGCTCCCTTTGGAGCCCCCAGAAAGGGACAGCAGGAGGGGTGGGTGAGACAGAGCAGAACTGATTCTGCTGCTCACCAGCCGCTCAGTGGGTGGTTCTGGGTCCCATCAGCAGGAAGGAGGAGAGGTGGCAGGAAGATACTTGCAGAGATCCCTGAGGGTCATCCATATGTAATAGGCTGGAAGATCTCTGAAAGGGGAGAGATTCTGCACTTGATATGATTTACAGGACCTTAACAAGAATGAGTACATGCCTGAGTAATTTTGGAGTTTGTGTATTTATTTTTTTTTAATGATTTATACTGTAGCAAAGAATAGAACACCCCTGCAGGACACCTGGCCCACTAGGGAAAGAAATACCTGAAAGCTGAGCCTAATGAGCACTTCTCCCAGAGAAATTTGGGGATTTATCTCTCTTCCCCTCCTACCCATAACAAGTCTTCAAGGCAGTAGGAGGCCATCACTTACTCTGACCCCACATAGTGGCATTGGTTGCATGGATATCCAACATGATCCCAGCAGGGCTTCTGGAGATGCTTAGCTAAGGTATCCTTGTCTGCACTGGCACAAGCCAGGAAGATTCAGATGCAAGTCACTGAGGCTGTGGCACATCCCCATTCAGCTCACCTTACAGGTAACTTTCACAGGCACTCTTTGGAGATCAGGATCTTAGCAGTTCAAGGTCACTGTGCTCCACATTCCAAGACCTAAAATCCCATTCCATCAAATGACCACCAGCCCAGACTTCAATGAGAGAGCTGTGGAGATCTTCTCCAGCTCTTTTTTGACTGTGGCTCAGTACTGGGGGCTTTGGCTTGCAGTGCTCCCCAAGGTGTTAGCGTGAGGCCTCAGCCCACAGAAGCTGCAGGTGATGGAATAAGTAGCTGGCTAAGGCTGCCACAGATAACAGCCAGGAAGCTGCTAATTCATGCAAGCCACCCTGCTCTCTGCTACAGATGCTGTCATCATATGGCTTGCTTTTTAGTTTTAATTTTCAGGAAAAGACCAAACACTTGCTTCACAGTGCTGTTCAGTTATGATGGACATTTTTGACATCTCGTAAAGCACCAATAACTGCCCCTGAGACTCGATTACCCCACTGCTCCACTACCAGATGTGTTAAATCTAGAGGATCCCAGTTTGCCCTGAGCACACCAGGCCTGGGGTGTCTACCCAAATCTCTCTGCTGGTATACCGCAAATCTTCTCACATCAACTGCAAGACATAGGGTGTGGTCTCTGTACCTTTAGCCTTTAAAAAGCCAATCAGAAATGATGGAGTTGACAGCCTGGCTCTTCTCTGACCAAATGAAGCCCCAAAGCCCAGAGGCAGGGCCATATTCTCCCAGCAGAGATCTCTCCTGTCTCTCATCACTCACACCTAGAGCAAGAGGCTGGTTTTGAGAATTCAACATACATGGGGCCAACTGGCCCAGGCATGGAAGTCATCAGAAAAAAACAGAAATTGATGGACAAAAGTGCATTTGATGGAAACTAAAAGTTCCACTTTGACAAAGGAAGGATGACTATAGCCCTCCCTCAAGCTCTTTTCCTTAGGAAATAGCTCATAGCAAGTGGAGACCTGCATGTTGGCAATCAGTAAGGTCTCAAAGGAAGCTGCATAGATGCAAAGTCACCATATGATTTATATCCCCAAATACACACAGAGCCATCCACAAATCTATGGTTGGCCTCTTCACTAAGCAAGCACCTCATTGGCATCAAGGAAAGGTAAGATTCCCACATGGTTCCAAAGATGCCCTCAATGGAATGAGCAGCATTAATTTGGCTTCTCCAGAAAAGGTGAAACTACAACCTACAGGCTGCCTCTGCTGAAGAGAAAGTGAACAAGAAAAACAGTGGCACAACAAAGGTCTCCAGTATGTACAATGGGCATCCAGGGGTATTGTATGGCTGTGGTCTTACTGCAGACTAAATCCAGGATAGTGAGCCTTCCAGCACAGGTGGACATGGATCTCCTGAAGAAGAGTTTGGGATTTCATTTTGCCATGCTGGACGGCTGTAAGGTAGTCATGGACATCTCTTCCTCTTTACGTGGCTTAACACGCTGCCTGGCTGGAGGTACAGGAGAAGGGGAGGTGGTTTTCTGTGGACAGCTTTGCAGCTCACACTGCTCCTTCCCAGCGACCTCATAAGTTTAATGGGAATGAAAGGTGTCCAGAGAAAGACTCAAAGCCACACCCCACCTTTGTTGGAGCTATCTCACTGAAAAGCAAGATGAAAATCATTCTATTTTGACTTCCAGGGCTTGCTGACAAGCCAATAAAACCTTACGAACCAGACTGCTCCCTAGGTAAGTCCTAACACAGAACTAATATTAGTTAATTCATTAATGATAGCCAATAAAAGTTACCCACTCCTGTGAGACTTATAGTAAAGTCTCACAGGCCACCAAACAATATCAAGTCATAGATGGTATTGAATTTGTGACAGAGACTCACAACTTGGGGTTTTTCAGGCTTCAGTGGGATCAGACTTTGGAAAGGCAAGATTCAAAAGAGGATTGTCTTTAGGATGCAGTATGAAGAGACAAGACTGAAAACAGTGCTATCATGTGATCGTATTTTATGGAAAGAGGGCACTTTCTTGTGTGAACATCTTATATTCACATCACACAGTGATTTGAAGATGATGTCATTTGTGAGAATAATCTGGGTTGGTGCATAGCCCCTAAAAGTCTAAAAGGGTAAAGCACTAACACCCTGAAGTGGCCATATGTCCCAAGGAGATGTCCTTCTGGCCTGAAAAAGTAGAATAATGGAAGAATCCAACTGTTCTCTCCAGTGCTTGGCCAGGTATTAGGTAATAATTTTTCACTTTCAGCATGAGCAAACCTCTCCGGTCTGCCGGGGGGGGACATCAAACATGAGAACCCACAAAGCTGCTTTTATGGTGTTGCTTGTCAGAGCAGAGCTGCACTTCCATTACCTACATGTCCTCTGTCTGTCGAAAGGACAGTTTCCTAGGATGCTTGAGAACATCCATTCTCTTTTATAGCATACGCCATTCACGTTGCTGGCATATGCTGCCCATTGAAATAAATGGAGCTTGTCACTCTTGGATGTGTTCCTTGGAAATAAACGGTCAAACAAATTAGAACACTGAGCCATGAAAATCCTTGTCCTTTTGAAAAATCTGTGCTGGATGTAGCTCATGGTTTCCTTAGACATTTGGGTGATATTTTTTGTTTTTCCATTGGTCATGTTTACTTTCTCCGAGGCTGTTTTAATAACAGGTCAGAAGCTTTGAGGCTGCTGGCAGGAACAGCCTACAACTGGGTAAGGGGAAAAAGCATCCCAGAGGTACTAGGGCCATCAGGTCTGGATGTGAATTCACCCTGGCTGAGGTCTGCCAGTGTTTGTGGGACAGGCAGCTCCACTGAAAATATGAGCGTGACTTCCCTGGGAGTGGCTGCTATCTTTAAACCAGTAGTCTCCAGTTGAAATATATGGCTTTTGGACAAAATCCTGATTCTTGATTTTTCTTGAAATTTTTTTTGTCTGATTGTAGCCGTTGGCTTATGTCCTTTGGTCTCTACTTTTAGTCTTTTCCTTTGCTTGTTGGACTAGAGGAGACATGGCATTAAGATCCAGCTGCCACAGTAAAGAGCCAAGTGTGTTCATGAGGGTGGTCATACCCCTTCACTGCCACATTGTCTTGATCTCTCCAAAGATTGTCCTTGTGATGTCAGTGAGTATTCACAGCTTTCCTGAGAGAAGGATATTTTGAGAAATGGAGGATGATGAGGAGTTTTAAAGGCAGAAGGGACCACTATGAGCAGGTTGAAGGCCACAGGATTTCCCTCTTAATTTTCTCTATGAGCATTTTTCAGAAATAATACCCATTCATGGTTTAAACACCAGTGGTGGTGGAGGACTCTCAGTAATGCCTGGCAAGTTACTCCATCAGCTGTTTCTCCCCACTGTTGAAAACACTGATGTGAAAAATGAGTAGGCATTCCTTCAGCATCCAGCTGTGGGATTTTCTTATATTTTGGCCCCTGGATTAAGAGTTCTCTTTTATTATGTTATCAGGTTTAGGTGGGATTTTGTAAACAGGTATATGCATGTGTGCTGTACTGCTGATATGCCTGCGTGCATCAGTTATTAGCTTGGACTCTGGTCATGCAGAGCATAGCTACAGTTATTGCTGCTACTCAGGTCAAATGTCTAGAATTTTTGGACAAATAGGAAAATTCCACCTGGGCAAACATTTCAGACAGAAAGAGAAGACGTGCCTGAGTAAACCCAGACATCTGTTGGCCCTTCCCAGGTCAGTATTCATTAGTAGTGGCCATATCAATTCTGCAGCCTTCTTTTTTTTAAAACTGAACAGGATTCAATGCCTTGTCATTATGCAGAAGAGACCAAGTCTGTTTTATTTCTAAGGTTGTTCTGATCATGGGATATTTTACATTCTTCCTGTCCATCTTCCTAGACCAGAAATGTGATGCTTAGCATGCCAAGCTCTGGATGTAGAACAAGAAATAGTTACTGTGCTCTACAGTGTGTCTGTAAGACCCTAATGCAGCCTGGATGCTCCTGGAACAGGTTTATTAGGAAATCATATCACATTAAAATTATGGAAAGCATATGTAAAACCCTAAGAATGTCCACAGTGGGTTAGACCAAAAGTATCTTGTTTTCAGGATTACCAAAAGAGGGAAACCTGTAAGAATAACATAAATCTACAGTGATACTGCCCTCAAATATTCCCCTGACATCCAGTCAATTAAAATTTAATGCACTGGATGAATTTTCCTTTTCTGAATTTGTCAGGTTGTGGTTTGAATGCATGTGAATTTTCAGCATCCATAATTTCCCATGGAAAGGACTTCTCTGTGAGCCATGTGATTTAGGAAAATGCATCAAGAGATGCTTGTAAACATGTTTGCAAATAAAATAGCCAAGTCTGCTGAATTACTGTGGCTTCTACTGTTGATGAGCACATGAAGAGTAGCTCTGAGTATGTGGGCAGTAGTGCCTTATGTTTTCAATGAATGCATTTGGTTGGAAGCATAAACAGTGGGTGAATTAAAGCCAGTTAAGATAAGAGGAGGAATCTCCTGCAGTCTGGGTAAGAGGAAGGAAGCAAGACCAAGACCTGTTCTTTGAAATTGATCACCTTTAATTGACTTGGGCCAGGATCTGAAAGTGAGACCAGTCATGCACAAGCACACAATCATTATGTAGGTTGGAGCCATGGCAAGTGTCCATGTGGATCAGGCACTAAAGGAGTTAACAGAACAAGCCAGAAACAGAGATGTGTTAACCTTTGCAATGAACTCGATAGCAATCCCCACACATAATTGACTAGTGAGGAATTTGTGAATTAAGTAGGACAAATAGGAGGAACTTGGTGATTTTTATACACGCCTGATGCACTAAATGGGGAGTGTGGGCTTATGTGGTTCCCAGACACACACAGATGACAGGCAGCAGTCAGTGAATTGAGGGGGAGGCAGACACTGTGTGCTTTGCCACTGAGTGCCTTACCTGTGCACATGTGTACAACTGCTGGCTGCCAGGGTGAGAAAAGAAAAAGTAGATGTCAAGTCTAGCTGGCAGCCAATGCATCTGTCTTCTGTCTTTCACTCACCCACAGTCGAGGTGGAACTTGGCTATTTTTAAATCTGATGTCTGTGTGTGTAGCCATGGGGAATGCTCTTTCCTATGAAAAAGAAAAAAATAGAAAGAGGAAAAAAATTAAGACTTTGCAGCCACCTGCATTCCATAAGCAGATGTTTCTCCATCTATTGATGCCAATCACCCCAGCCCACAGGCTTCCTTTCTTCACTTGGAAGTAGAACTTGTAAAACCAAACCCAGTCATCATTACTGGACTTCTTAGGTCAGTTGACCAGGGAAGAAAAGCTGCCATGCTTTTCTTACCTTACATGCAGGGTAAGAATGGTCTCATAGGAGGTACCAAGTACTCTGTTCAGTTCAGTGTCTTTTCCCCAGCTGTGGCCAGTATCAGCATCTCCTGGAATGAGCAGGAAGGTTTTCACCAGCATGTGGATTGTTCAAGACCATTTTATTTCTACTTGTATAGCTTAGGCCAGCTGTAACTGGCTTTATGCTGGCTTCTGTGAGTTGTATTGTCATTCCTGGTAAAGGAGGCAAATTGGTTTATTCCAATAAGTCATTCAGGCCTAACAAATTGTTTTTTCCTATGAAAATGTTTCCAGGGAATACAATCAGGTGTCTGAAAAGCCATTTCTTTCCCACAGAGGTGTATGCCATATCCTAGGCTCCATCCCTGTGCAGGCTTAACATCCTCCAATAGCTGCTTCTTCCTCAGCTTCCAGACCCTGGCTCTCTGGTCCTGAGCATGTTGAAGGTGCTGCTGAGTTTTCTGTGTTTTCAGTAATTTCCATTGACCACCTTCTCCATTTCACTGAGGCTATGTAGTAGCGGTGTCCTGATTTTTAAGATTCTCTCTGAACTTAAACCAGCTAGGTCACTAACTGCTGGATGTCCCTCTCCTTCTAGTCTCATTATTTTGAACTCTGTCTTCTGGTATGGGCTTTAGAGTTTTGCATCCTCTTCTTGGACATGTTTCCTCATATCTTTCTCAATATGAAATTTGTCCACTGGACACTGTTATCCTTCCTGCCTGGACCCCCTATTTTCCCTTTTGTTTCCCCATGCTGTTATTTGTTATTGTTCATCATAAACTGTTCTCAAACTACCTAGTTGTGTGGTCCCTTGTTTGAAGGAGACAACTCTTAACAAGAAGACTGGTCAGGACTCAGCCCAAGCAAAGAACACAGCCTCCCTGAAGGATAAAATAACTTCTGTTATCTTTTCAGGATTTCCTCATGAACTCAGACCATTTCTATTTGTATCTATGACAATGCTTGATGCTTATAGGAGCTCTACTGAAACATCCTAGGGCAGTAACTCCTTCTGTATATGTATACATACAAATTCAGATAGGCACATTTGTAAGGCAGCTTCTTTAGATTCTTCTCAGGTTCTAGACTTTCTGCTTGTCTTCTCAAGAAAAGTCCACTTTAGGGCTACAATTAAAGTTCAAATAAAAATGCAAAGCAGTTGC